GTTTCAGTTTTTTGGAATTATACTATTACGAAAGTTTTTGATTCAAACTAATGGAAATAATAATAAAAGATATGAGTGAAATAAAACAATAAATCTAAAAATAAAATCTAAATCATAAAAAACTCATCAATAAGGACATATTTCAACATAGAGAAACAAACAAATGATCAAATCTTTCATAATCAATAATTATAAAATAATTAACAAATCCAAATTAATATTTAATACCTATAACCTTGAAACTAGAACTAGAAGACGTGAATGTGAAGAAAAAAAAGAGTTAATCACATTTTTCTTTATTGAAAAATTAAGGTTTACTTTATTATTTATATGTAAATATTTTTTATAAACATTATATTTTAAATTTATGAGTTAAGTTAGTAAATTATAAAGATAACTAAGCTCAAAAATAAGATATGTATCTAAACTAAATTAAGAAACTAGGAAAATATAAATTATCTAAAATTTAGTTTAAAAATCAAAAAAGCTTTTTGGTTTGACGGTTTTTAACTCAAGCAAACCTAAACCAAAACTATAAAAAATAATGGCCAAATGGATTTTTAGGTATAACCATAACCAAATCATATCATTTTTTTCGGTTCGGTATGGTTTGGTTTTTTCGGTTATGGTTTTTGTGCCCACCCCTAGTGAAAAGTGTCAAAGTGACACTTATTTTGAAACAGAGAGAGTGTCATTCTTTAACGTCTAATTCCCATATTTAATGCCCAAATTGCATCTTTAATGCTCAGTTGCATCGTTACTTTCATACTCCCTCTGTTTCAAAATAAATATCACTAGGTAACCCGCGCTATGCTGCAGGATATTTTTATAAATTTTATACATATTTTTAATATAATAAAATCATTTTTATAATGTAAATGAGTATTATATTTATTTTTTATTAGCTTAAGCTATGTATTTATATGTTTTAAATCTGAATAAACATTATATATTTTTATTATTTTTTTCAAAATTATAATTTGCTATTAAATTTAGTTAGCTAACTAATTATAAATGTATATATAGGAATAAAACAATATATTTTTAATCTTCATGCTAATGGCAAATATAATTTATTTTCTCTAATAAATTACCACTTGATCCTCTTTTGTAATTATATAAAGCAAAATGTCATTTTAAAAAAAGATTTATTAATTAATATGATTATTTTGAATTATAAAATTTATTTATTTATCAAATATTTTATTATAAACATATGTTTCTAAAACTACCAAACTATAATCAATAACATTCATATCAAAACTATTGCTATTGCTTTAGAACTAGATAGAAAATTATGTTTGAACTCTTAAAATATCATTTTAGTTAAAGTTAAATAATTAAATTTTGGTTACTGCAAACATACTTTAACTTGGAAATTTAGCACAGAGAAATTTCATCTTCTTACAAAAATCGAGAAATCGCATTTCCCGTCAGAACAAAAAAACTTCATTTTCCCATTAAACTGAGAAATCGCCTATTCCCGCCAAAACCAAAAAACTCATTTTTTCGTCAAACCAAAAACCTAAAATTTAATTTTCCCGCAAGAACCTGTATTTTTCCACCAAAGCCGAGAAATTACGTTTTTTCACAAAAACCAAAAAATTTCATCTTCTTGCAAAAACAAGAAAAGTTGTATTTCCCCGCCATAATCGAAAAGTTTATTTTTCCAGCGAAAACTGGAAAATTGTCTATTCCTGCAAAAAAAAACCATTTTCTCGCCAAGTCCAGAATCACGTTTTCCTATAAAAACAAATAAACTACAATTTCCCGTGAAAACTAAAAATTGCATTATCTCCCATAAAATTATGTTTTCCCGCGAAAACTAAGAAATTGTTATGTTTTTATCGGTTCAAATTTTTGCTGATGTGTGAGCTTCTTATAACATAAAGCTTTTTGTGTTGTTGTCATGTAAGCATAGTTGATGCTGAGCCTACACTTTTTCAATCATATACGTCTATGTCAAACAAACAGATAGCTATAATTTTTTTTTTATTTATTTGTTATTATTTATTATTTGGATTTGGTTTTGGCAAAAAAAAATAATGATTTAATTTTTTTTATTTATTATTTGGGTCTGGGTTTGGTAAAAAAATAAAATAATGATTTTTTATTTACTGTTATCAATCATTTGGGCTTGAGTTTGGTAAAAAATAAAACAAAAATTAATAGAAAAAATATTTGGGTGTTTAATGTGTTTAAGTTTAAAATTTAAAATAAGTAGATGAGATATATTAATAAAATGTTTTGATTGGTGATTATTTTTGCTGAGGTGTCATGTTTATAAAGCTTTAAAAAGCTGAGGTGTCAAGCTATGGAGAGACTTTTGTGTTATTGTTGTGTTGACTAGGTATTTACCCGCACAATGCTACGGGATATTTTTATAAATTTTGTATATGTTTTTAATATAATAAAATTATTTTTATAATGTAAATGAGTATTATATTTATTTTTTTATTAGCTTAAGTTATATATTTATATGTTTTAAATCTGAATAAACATTATATATTTTTTATTTTTTTATTTTTTAAAATTATAATTTACTATTAAATTTAGTTAGCTAACTAATTATAAATGTATATATAGGAATAAAATATATAAGAATAAAGCAATATATTTTTAGTATCTTCATGCTAATGACAAATGTAATCTATTTTCTCTAATAAATTGCCACTTGATCCTCCTTTGTAATTATATAAAGCAAAATGTCATTTAAAAAAATTTTTATTAATTAATATAATTATTTTGAATTAGAAAATTTATTTATTTATCAATTATTTTATTATAAACATCTGTTTCTAAAACTACCAAATTATAATCAATAACATTCATATCAAAACCATTGCTATTACTTTAGAACTAAATAGAAAATTATGTTTGAACTCTTAAAATATTGTTTTAGTTAAAGTTAAATAATTAAATTTTGGTTACTGTAAACATCTTTTAACTTGGAAATTTAGCACAAAGAAATTTAATATTCTTACAAAAATCGAGAAATTGCATTTCCCGTCAGAACAAAAAAATTTCATTTTCCCATTAAACTGAGAAATCGCCTATTCCCGCCAAAACCAAAAAATTCATTTTCTCGTCAAACCTAAAACCTAAAATTTCATTTTCCCGCGAGAACTTGTATTTTTCCACCAAAGCCGAAAAATTACGTTTTTTCACAAAAACCAAAAAAATTCATCTTCCTGCAAAAACCAAAAAAAAGTTGTATATTTCCGCGAAAATTTTATTTTTCCTGCGAAAACTGAGAAATCGTCTATTCCTGCCAAAACAAAAAAAAACATTTTTTCATCAAGCCCAAAATCACGCTTTTCTACAAAAACAAATAAACTATAATTTCTTGCAAAAACCAAAAATTGCTTTATCTCCCGTAAAATTATATTTTCCTGCAAAAACTTAAAAAAAATTTATGTTTTTATCGGTTTAAATTTTTGCTGATGTATGAGCTTCTTATAACATAAGGCTTTTTGCGTTATTGTCATGGAAACATAGTTGATGTTGAGTCTACACTTTTTCAATCATATACGTCTCTGTCAAACAAACAGATAGCTAGAATTTTTTTTATTATTTATTCGTTGTTATGTATTATTTGGTTTTGGCAAAAAAAAAACAATGATTTAATTTTTTTATTTGTTTTTATTTATTATTTGAGTTTGAATTGGTAAAAAATAAAATAATGATTTTTTTATTTGCTGTTATTAATTATTTGAGTTTGAATTGGTAAAAAATAAAAAAAATATTTGGATTTTTAATGGGTTTAAACTTAAAAATTAAAATAAGTAGATGAGATGTATTAATAAAATGTTTTCATTGGTGATTATTTTTGCTGAGGTGTCATATTTATAAAGCTTCAAAAAGCTGAGGTGTCAAGCCATGGAGAGACTTTAGTGTTATTGTTGTGTTGATTCTAAAGTTTTATTTTTGTTTCATAAAAAGTATCACTACATTTTCAATGCATAATTTTGAATAAATATCCAGCTTTAACCTTTTGACTTTTATTATTTTAATTGGAAAGAAAATGTTATTTTGTGTATGAACAAAGAGCAAAACAAAATTTTTAATGATTTTTTTTAATTTATGTGAAAAGTGTCAAAATAACACTTATTTTGAAACAGAAGGAGTATAAAATTAGGCGTCAAAGTATTTTGGAGACACTCTTGAGTTACACAGTGATTGACAAATAAAAACGATCACAGATATTAGCCAAATGGGGGGAAAAAGATGTGGTAGAATAATTAATGGTGTCTACGCTACCATGCGTCAGAGTGTAACTAATGTAGTTTTAAGCTTAGTACATTTTCAAATACAATTTTACATTTTCGATCATAAATCAATCAGGAAATATTAAGTTAATCCTGTATTTTAAGTTTTAAACTATAGAATCATCACAACAAGTTAAATGTTTCATATTTTAATTAAATGTAAAATTTATTCAAACCATAAATATTTTTTACAATGAATGTTTCAGTTGTATTTAGGAGAAACAAATATGTTGAACTTTAGCGTGAAAACAAAAAAACTAAGAATTCTGGTGGTTTTTTGAACTTTTTTATGAAGGTCGTGTGGCAAACCATGTACAAAGTTAGTCCCTCGTCATACGCATAATCTCCCATTCCAAAATTCTTGTAACAACGATATTCTCAAGCATATATAGTAGATATCCATCAGAATCATCATAAGATAAAGAAGACTCATTAATCAATTAACAAAACAAGATGCTCGGAGCTATATATCAACAATTAAATGGACATGAGTATATCCAAGGCGTAGTTTGTCTCGAAATCTAATATATATTTTTAGTAAAATATATTTCACTGTACGTACGTAACTGGGTTTGTAAAGTACTAGTATTATCAAAAATTTGAAATCGAAAACATTGTTGTTACGTAACTCCAGTTTCATTCTCACCTTTATAAATACTGAAGAATCCACTACGATTTACACCACCATCTATCTTTCTTATCCACTTTTCTTCAACTTCTTAGTTATCTCAAATGGTGCAAGAGTCTTCCTCGGTGACACCAGTCCCTATGCTCAAATATGATCTCGACATCGTGATCCCAACGATCCGTGACCTGGATTTCTTGGAGACGTGGAGGCCATTCTTTGAGCAATACCACCTGATCATCATTCAGGACGGTGATCCTTGGAAGACCATCAATGTCCCAGAAGGGTTTGACTATGAGATTTACAACAGGAACGACATCATTCGAATCTTGGGTGCCAAGGCATCTTGCATTTCCTTCGAAGACTCTGCTTGCCGCTGCTTCGGATTCTTGGTCTCCAAGAAGAAGTACATCTACACCATTGATGATGATTGCTTCGTAAGTGAATCTCTCTCTCTCTCTCTCTCTCTCTCTCTCTCTCTCTCTCTCTCTCTCTCTCTCTCTCTCTCTCTCTCTCTCTCTCTCTCTCTCTCTCTCTCTCTCTCTCTCTCTCTCTCTCTCTCTCTCTCTCTCTCTCTCTCTCTCTCTCTCTCTCTCTCTCTCTCTCTCTCTCTCTCTCTCTCTCTCTCTCTCTCTCTCTCTTTCTTTGTCTGCCTGACTAGCTTCACTTCACAGTTGGTTTTCTTGCTGCATGTTAATTGTGATTTTTATTTGTATATAAGGGAGCTCTTACGATGTTGTTTTGGGGAAAATAATGTATAGGTTGCAAAGGATCCATCTGGAAAAGAGATCAATGCGGTTGAGCAGCATATCAAGAACCTCACATCTCCATCAACTCCACGTTACTTCAACACACTTTATGATCCATACAGAGATGGTGCCGACTTTACTCGTGGAAACAACTTCGGTATGCAGGAGAGCGACCCTACTCGTGAAAACCCTTTCACAATGCGTGAGGGTGCTAAAACTGTGGTCTCTCATGGCCTCTGGCTCAACGTCCCTGACTATGATGCTCCCAGTCAGCTTGTGAAGCCACCTGAGAGAAACTCCAGGCAAATTGATCTCCCATAGAGACAACCAATTTGCCTTGCTTCACTTTTTTTAGTATTTTTTGCTTATTTCTTAGTCTTGGTTATATATAGGTACGTTGATGCAGTCATGACCATTCCAAAGGGAACTCTTTTCTCCATGTGTGGTATGAACCTCGCTTTCGACCGTGAACTGATTGGCCCGGCTATGTACTTTGGCCTTATGGGAAATGGACAACCAATTACAGGGTGTGATGACATGTGGGCTGGTTGGTGTATGAAGGTATTCATAACGCTCCTTAATAAATCTTCATTGGCTCTCATTAGTGTTTATTAATTCATATATTTTTTTGTCATCTTAATACATTTTTTTAAATTAACTAGCTAATCTATCAAGTTTTTCATGAGAATAATATTTTCAACGGTGTTTTCGGGAAATGATCTACTATAACATTTAGGACAATGGATTGTATTAGGTTATATGTGACCACATGGGATGGGGAGTGAAGACGGGCCTGCCTTATGTAGACCACAAAAAATCTGGCCACCCATTCGAGAATCTGAAGAAGAAATTTAATGGAATATTCTGGCAAGAAGAGGCGTTACCTTTCTTTCAATCAGTGACACTACCCAAAGAATGCACTTCTGTGAAGCAATGCTACCTCGAGCTAGCTAAGCTCGTCAAGGAGAAACTTGGAAAAGTGGATCCTTACTTTATCAAGCTTGCAGCCGGAATGGTCACTTGGACCGAAGCTTGGGAGGAGCTTAACCCCCTAAACTAAAACTAAAGCACCAAACGTGGAAGATGAAGTAAGAAAAGAGTGACGTTGTGAATAAATAAAGTCAATGGTACGGTCACATATGTAAACCAATGTTCTATGTTTCTTATAATTGCTATATGTTGCTTGTGAATGGTCTTGTTGAGTTGTTGTACGTAGCTATAAATAAGATGGTGTAATATATGTTCTTGTATTATGTATGTATGTATGTATGTATGTTGCCTTTAAGGCTTATATCTATGAAATATTATTATTATAGTTTTGTTCCAGGGTTCTTTGTTTTTCTTTTTCCTTGAGTGATGATAATTAGAACAAGTTTATTTCCATCTTGGTTGAGTGATTTTAATTCGTGTAACTTTAAATAAAAAAGAAGTAAGCTAATTTTACTTTTCCTTTTGTTTTTAAAAATATAAACTACAAGTAATGAAACTGGACTCCATCAGAAACTTACAAACTCCCAAGTCTCGTAACGTGTTTTTCTTTGTTCAACTTATATTTCTAAACCATAATTATAAGAAAGTTAATTTAGTTTTTAGAAGAATGTGTATATAGAATATTGTACTTGGTTTCATTTATTTTTTTATGCGGTAGCGTTAGTCAAATTAAAGATGATTATTGTCACTCGCTATACATAGACTTCATAATGGCGATGTGGAGAAATCTTGATGATTAATTATTGAAAGCCTTTTAGCAAAAAAAATGAACAGAAATCTTGATGATCAGGCTACGATTTACCTTTGGAATCATCGAGAGACCCAAACCGTTTACTAATCTCCGCAGTATTAGGTGTGCATGTGGCTGTGGAGGTTAGTTTGAATCCTAAGCTCTGTTTTTCTCTGCAGTCCGTCAATGATTATTCTGAAGCTGAGTGAAGCAAGGTTGAAGACTTGGTCTCATGAAGAAGGTTTCGATGGAAGGAGAAAATATGGAAGACTCAAGATGAGACAGAGGGTTCTAAAGATAAGGTCATCTTCACAAAACACGTGATTTCTCTCGCTCTGCAACGGCAACAGAGCCGTACTCTGTATTGATGCACCAAGAGGAGACAAAGAAGGCAGGCCTGTAACTAAACGTTTTCTCTTGGGATCAATAAGACAAAAGGAACAAAAGTAACCAGAAGTTAACTCAAGCGTAGAGTTAGGTTTTGCCTTGGTTACCTTATTGTTCTTCGAGAGTATAAAAGACATAAAACATGTCTGAATATGTAAGCTTGTGTAAGTGTGTGAAACAGAGCAGAGAGAGAAGTGTAAGAGATTAAGAGCTCGGTTTGAGCTAAGTTCTTAGTGGATTTTCCGGAGATCTTCTCCGACGAGACGTAGGATCTCTCCCAAGGGTCCGAACTCGTTAAATTCCTGGTGTCTTTACATTTCAAGCTCTTTACATTTAAGTCACATTAAATCAAACACAAGAGAGAACTAAAACAGAGTGTGAGAGAGAGCTTTAAGTTATCATCTATTCGATATAAGTAAGCTCAAAACACCACAGTAGCTAATTCCAACATGGAGCCAGACATTGAGGAAAATTCTAGAGTCACATGACTCTTATTTGCTGGCCTTTTTTATGTGAGACCACGAAAATTTAATGGGCTTTCTTGTCATAAAGAGGCCTGAGACTGTACGTTACGTACGATTCAGATTTTCGAAAGTTTTAATTGTTAACCAATATTAATAGTTGTATCATTTCATACATACGTGATTATGCGTGATCGCGATTCGTTTACTAAATATACAGATAACTGGTCGCGATTCGTTTACTAAATATACAGATAACTTATTCTCTAATTACATAACATAAAGTAAAACGTAAAAAAGGCGGAAGATAGAGAGACAAGTGTAATAAGAGAACTTTCACAAGTGTGGTACGAGAAAGATCAACTAAAGCGATATGTTTGTCTAACTTGAAAACACAGAAGAAAAAGTGATTAGGAACAATAACTTATAATAAATAACAAAGACAAGTCAAATCAGAAAGAGAACGATAGGGTTTCCGGAAAAGGAAGAGTAGAAGCTGCGAATTGTGAGTTAATGAGTAGAGAGCTCTCTAACGTGTGATGTGAACTGTGATACTTCTTAGCTTTGTGTGTTTCTATTAAACTCAAGTGGGTTTGGTGGACTTTCCTTTTGACTTTTATATTTCGAATTATAGAATTTCTTATTTCTAATTGGGAAAAAAATAAATCCCTGACCAACTTATTCTGAAATATAATATTTACAAAATTGAGATCTTTTCTTGATGTGATACAGAAACATATAACGGTCAATTATTTCTTTTTGACTGATTACATCAAACCATTTTCACATTCTGCATTTTGAACTCCAAAAAACTCTAATAATTTGTAATGCAATCTTAATGATTAAGTAAAAAACATTAATATCTAAAAGCCCCTCCCTGCATAACCGGTAGCTAATTCATTCAATAACAAATCGACTAAACCATGCTAATTAGGCGCAAAAAAATTAGTACACCCGACAAGAAAAAGAGGGCATACTATACATTTAATTTAATATTTATATATTGATTAAGTGATAGTAGTGGATGCATAAATAATGGATGGTATTAAATAGATAGATAGCTAGAGGGTAAAAGCAAGCTTTAATTAAAGAGAGGGAGTAATGAAGTTATACGAACATGGAAACCTGAATAAAACCTAATTTCTTCTTAGCTATCTTCCCATTTTTGGCAATCGTCCCATCTCTCACAGTCATAGTCTCCAGCCCCTTTTTTCAATAAATATAATTTCAATCACCTTTTTTAGGATATAGACAGATAATCTTATCAGAAGTTCTAGTCCACAATTACCCTATAGTTTATATACAACCAATCTTCTATTTTCAACTTCTAGTTTAAAATCTTTCACTTTTTGTTTTTGACAAAGGGTTTTCATCATTAAAATATTTCACTTACATCTCTGATCTATCCTCAAATTTTACATTGACATCACAATGCAAATGATGAGATTTGCTATTGATGAACAGCGGTTAAATGTACGTTCTTATATTACGAAGTTTTAATAAAATTTAAAACTGAGATCATAAAAACTCATGGTAATTGTAGATTTTAGAATTAGACTAGTGTAGGCTGTAAGAACTATGAAAAGAACCTATCAATAAAAAGAAAAGGGAGTAATTATTAATGTTTTTATTTTGGCTAATTATTATGACATTAGCTTAGACCCGTCGAAATCTATTGTTTGAAAAAAGTAAAAGTCTATGTATATAATGGTTCTAAACATTGGGAGGAAACTTTAATCAAATAAATTTGTACGTAAGCTAAATATGTGTGTCGAAGTAGGAAATTTAGGGAGAGTGTGTAAAGAATGCAAAAAAAAAGTTAGTCACTGAAAGAGACGTGTGATTAATCACTTGTCTCCTTCCAATTTCCCTGTGGGGGCAGTGCATGCACAAAAGATGGAATCCATTCTACAGCTCCTCCTTTCTTCACTATCTTTTCAAGTTTCTCTTTTTGAATTTATTATTTATTTTTTTATATTTTGTTTAATTTATAAGCCCACTTCTTCTTCCCTATAATTATATATAGTACGATAAATATTATGCTTGTTCTATCCTCAAATTTGAATAATAAAAGTGTGTATAGCTGATGTTGATGGACTCGCTTTTTTTACGGATTGGATTAATAGTTGGTCACTCTCATCCCATGTCAAATATAAGTCAATCATCATCTATAAGAACTTAAAAATCGTATCGTCTAGAAGAGAGCTTCAAATGGGGAGGAGAAAATAAAAATGTTAGGAATGAGAAAAGGAAGAGGAAATGAGCCAAAAAAAAAAAAAAGAGTGTAAGAAGGGTTAATTTCATTATATAGAGTTGCCTTTGGATATATGTTTTTGATGTTTTGTAGAGCATTACATAATTCACCAAAACCAACACAATCTTCTTTTTTTCACCGAAAGATAATGCGCACTTTCGAACCGAAAATCTTGATATCTCTGGATTTCTTAGGGATCAAGTCCCATGTATATAATACATCTCTTCTTTAATTTCTTATGGTTATAAGGGTCATCGTAAATTATAGTAAGATCAGGTTAAGAAGTAAGAGCTATACTTTTAAATGTATGTAAACCCTCATATTTAATTAACCTAAAACAGAAAATTTGTAAGGCTAGTGTACAAAACGTCAAATATGTATGTATTATCAAAAGATCCTGAGTGGAATCACTTCTGCATTAGAGTCCAATATGTATGTATAGTTGGATGTGCCTGAAGATCCATTGTTTTGGTTGTTTCTCGACAGTTAGACGATTTTTGCCTTTAATTTTAGAAATACTATTGAATGAGAATTTCACGATAAAGAAAAAAGTTATAAAGCATGACAAGTTATGTCCTCAGTTCTGCAGGGAAATCATTTTTCGTGAAATTTTCTGAGATTAACAAAAAAAGAAACAGATCAAAGATCAGAAAAAAGGACCATTCTTAATTTATAACATGTGGGCAAGTCAAGGGTCGCTGGCATCAAACTTGAATGAATGTAATCATATTCACACCACAAATAATCTAATACAAATATGTTATTATATCTTAATCAGTCATCTCTTTCTGTCTTTGGCTTCATATCATATATATTCATTAATATATATGTACGATGTAGAAGCTCATGAATATAAAGTAAGACTCTGCTTCTTTTGAAATATATACATGTTTAACATATTACATATACGGAACGGAAGTATTGGATTAATTTGTCCGTCTATATATTAGGTTAAGTTTGGACTAATTATTACTCATCATTAAGGCGCATTATTAATTGAAAAACGCATATATTATGAAAAAAAAACATGGTTGAATCATTTTCAGCACAGCTAATTATAGCAAAAACTAATGTACGAGGAGTGATATTTAAAGTCTTTGATATTTTTGAAGCAAATTTAAACGTCTGCATGCAAGACTTAATTTGCAGAGGGAGGTATGTACTATCAGTAGCAGTAGTAGCAACACAGATAAAAGTCATCAAACCCTAGATCCGGTCCCTTAATTTAATTCATACAGTATACGATTTGACATTAAAAAGGGTTTATGTTTTACACTAAAATCTGCCAATCTTTTATTTTAAGTCAATTCATGATGGATACTTATTTATGTTGCCTAACCCCTAATTTATTTGTTAAAGGTTTATTTAAACTAAAATCGTTTCTACGCCACAAAAACTTGGTTTAAGACATTATTTTTGTTTTTTATAAACTTAAAGATTATTTTCTTAAAATGAATGATAAAAAATGCATTTATGGACTGCGCATACGTCCAACACTTGAACTATCTTTTCCACTCTCTCTCTATCTCTCTCTCTGTCACTCTCTATGCCTCTCACGGTCTCACTATGTTTGAACTTCTCTATATATACAAGCTCTCATATCTCATCAAATAACTATAACCCTAACTCTAAGAATTTCTTACTCTCTCTCTCTCTCTCTCTGAGCGGTTTTGAATCCATTCGTTAAAGATCATGAACCTTGAAGACAAACCAATCATGACTTCAAGGGCTTCACCTCAATCCGAACATCTCTACTACGTCCGGTGTAGCATCTGCAACACCATCCTCGCGGTAATTAACCCACACATAGATAAATAGATATATAAGCACAAATACATGGCCATATAGTTGTTTACGTTGTGTATTTCTTCCAAATTCCAGACTAAATGTTAACCAAATCAACATATATATATATAGGTTGGGATACCATTGAAGAGAATGCTCGACACTGTCACGGTGAAATGCGGCCATTGCGGTAACCTCTCGTTTCTCACCACAAGCCCTCCACTTCATGGCCATGTCAGCCTCACCCTTCAGGTTTATAACACTTGTCTTTATACTTATGCATATATATAACTTATAATATATTAAAAAAAAGTGATAATAATTAAGTCTTTAACTAAGCAGATGCAGAGCTTTGGTGGGAATGAGTATAAGAAAGGAAGCTCTTCTTCGTCTTCTTCCTCTACCTCCAGTGACCAGCCACCATCTCCTAGACCACCCTTTGTCGTCAAACGTAAGCCACAAGATTCTTACAATATTTATGACTCTTTTTGTTTAATTTAATCATCTTCTATGTATGAAAATTGATTAAGATCTTCACATATGTTTGGTTAATAATATTGTAGCTCCTGAGAAGAAGCAAAGACTTCCATCAGCTTACAACCGCTTCATGAGGTTAATAGTTTACATATATACTTCATTTCTAAGCTATGAAATTTAATGAATGGAAAATATGTACTAATATATAATCTTTCTTCTTATTTTTTGTAAAAAAAATAAAAATATAAAAGGGATGAGATCCAACGTATCAAAAGTGCGAATCCGGAAATCCCACATCGTGAAGCTTTCAGCGCTGCTGCCAAAAATGTAAGATAATAATCTTTTTGTCACGACTGTAATTATATCAGATTCAGATAATACCAGCTTTGTTTTATTTCACTAATATAAGATATATATATATATATATATATTTTTAGTTATTTTATTAATTTGTGTAATTCAAATATGTTACAAACAGTGGGCCAAGTACATACCCAATTCTCCTACTTCCATTACTTCTGGAGGCAACAACATCCATGTAAGCTATACAAACTCACTAGTCTCCATACGGACACATAAAATAGTAGATAAAGTAACAAAATTTTAATATGTTTTCTCAAATGTTTTGTTTTAGGGATGTTTGGGATTCGGAGAGAAGAAGTGAAATCCCAAGGAGAAGCCTAAAATAACAAACGCACGTGTGCGAGTGGTTTAATCATTGCGTCGTTTTCTCATCTTGTGTTGTTGTTGTTGTAGTTGTTTTTAAGTTGGTGTGTATTTTCTCATGTTGCAGAAAATGATGTTGCCTTAGTTTATTTATGACTTTATATTTCTCTTCTGTCTGTCTTAGATTTGAAAGTTACGTTACTTCGCTGTGTTGTTCTTTTGGACGTTTATGTCGGAACTTTATAATTTGTCTTAATCCTATCAAAATTTCTGCTTAATTTATTCTCGTCTCCAACAAAATATTTTCGAAAAATTTTGCAACTTTCAACATCGTAACTTCGAATTCGAGAATCCCAGATAACGTGTAGAACAAAACAAACAAAAGTGAAAAACAACTTTTTCAGAGAATATTCATTACAAAGTGTATATACAAAATTACAAATTGTCTGAAAAAAAAAGGACTGAAACACTGCGCAAGAAGCAGGCATAGATATCTGAATCAATTTTCTTCAGACTGGTGAATAATAATAACAAACAAGATCAGTTACAAAAACACTTGTAAACAGATTTTGATCTTCGTTCCCCCTAATCTAACCATCACACCAATTTCAATAATCATTAAATCCCAAATTCACACACTAATCAAACCATGCAGGCGGTCAAGAAACTCGAGCCGATCTTAAAGAAATAAGAATGTTGCAACCATTTTCTTTAGGAGCTAGGGGAAATAAAGCTCATTATATTCCTGCTTGACCTCATCAGTGATATTCCTCTGTTGCTCTATTCTTTGAAGATGCGATGAAAGCTGCAGGAGATCAACCGTGGATGATCCTTTACCATTACAAGAACTAGAACCGGAACTGGTCTTGCCAGGATCAATCCTCAACGGTTGCATCTGATGGTTGAGATTTTGGTTAGGTTGTGTGATTGAGAAAGATGTGTTTGGAAATTCAGAGAAGTGTTGTTGGGACTGAGATGACAGAAGAGAGAGAGCACAAGTAGACCGTGGAGCCGACTCATGTAAGTCCCAAATCGAGGATACACCAGAAGCTTCCGGTGAATAGATCCATGGTTTAGATTCATAAACCCTACTCTTCTTGTTCTGCATAGAGCAAGTAGGTTCGTCTTTGAAACTCACGAGTCTACTTGCACGGTGCTCCTTCTCCTCCGTTACTCTGTATAAGAAACTACCGGGAAACGCTTCTGGCAAGACCAACGAGAAGTCACTGACTGATGAATTCTCAAGAAACTTGTTTCCTGCCACACCGATTTGCACATATTTACAAAGACAAGTGAAAGATTGTAAGATCACAAAAATGGATACAAGGCAGAGTTTGTGTTACCATGAGCTGTGCGGAGAAGCTTATGCCGCTTACCCGGTAAGAAATAGAATGAAGGCTTCCTTCTTCTCTCATTGTGACCGGCTAATCTTCTTCTGCAACTTCTCTTCCCATCATCAAACTCTGAGAGGAAATGAAACCTTACCAGAAAAAAGAAGATGATAATGTTAAAACACTGATGAAAAAACAGAGAAAGAGACGAACTTTGTGAGGAGAAATGGGGCAAAAAGAACCTGCTGCACTGTTGACAGAACCTCTGTTCGATACCGCTAACTATAACAACGGAAGTCTTTGAATGGGCCTCGCAGACTCTATGCCTTTTGTGGTAATCTTTGGAAAAGCTCAGATCCATACTGCAACCATAGACTTGACACAAGGGTTTCTGCGAGCACGAGTTTGATGAAGATCGAGGCTTTTTAGCCGGAATCGCAAAAGCTCTAGAGGATGTATCGTCGTTGTTCCCGTAGTCCAAAAAGCTCCTAAGTTTGAAATCTATCCTAGACAGCTTTGAAGAAGAAGACTGGTTCTCTTCCTCGTCCTCTTCCTCCTCAACGTGCAACAAACTCGCAGGTACAACACAAGAAGAAGAAGCCACTTTGGTAACGGAAACAGCACTGAAACCATTGGATTTACCAGCTATACCGGACATCAAGACATCATCATTCGGCTCCAAATCATTAGAGAGCCCATGTTCAAATCCAGCCATGGCTCTTCGATTCTCGGCGAAAGAATCAGAAGGATGAAGGGTTTCGTTAGCCAAGAAAACGCTTCTCCCGTAGCTCCAAGAATCCATCAGCAAGACTTGAAACTGAGACAAATATATATAATCAGAACGAGGAGCAAATTTCAAGCTTCTCCTTTCTTCAACGACAACTAAGCAGTTTCCGACAAGTGACGCAAAACCCTAAATCAGGAAGCTTTGCCTTGTCTTGGAGATTCAATTCTCCTTGTGAGTGAGAAAGATTCAGAAAATTCCTTCGATTGACTCAAAGCCCTGATGTAATTGACGAAAATAATCAGACCCCTAACTATGAAACGAAGAAAAAATCAATACTTTTCGTCGAAATCGAGGGAAACCAATCAATTAAACAATAGGATCAGTGAAAAACTATCATCAGGGGAGAAAGAAACTAAAGAAAAATTTCGACTTTTCCCCTCTTCCCTTGAATTTGTATTCAAGGGTCTTTAGGAAACTAATCAAATCGTCATTCGTCACAGTCACAAAGAAACAGAAAATACGCAGAGTAAGAATCAGAATACTCACCGATTAGAATAACAGAGAGGAGGAAGAGGGAAACTCTGAGGCAAAGAGAGATTGGAGAAAATGTAGAAGAAGAAAGAAAAAGTTGGAAACTGTGGGAGTCGAAAGGAATAATGTGAGGGTGACGTCGAAGCTGATACTGTTGGGGTCAACATGATTTCCACTACAGCCATCTTTCTTCTCCACATTCTTTTCTTTGTTTTCTTCTTCTTTTTAATCTCCGATCCATTCTGTAATTATTTTTTGTATAAAAGAAGATACTGTAATTATTCGACCACAACGAAGAGAAACACCGGTTTTTTACCGGTTTAGATACTCAAATGTTGTTTGGTTGGGTAATAACTTCTCTAGTTTTATTAGTTTAGTGTTTATGTTAGAAATACCGCATCTACACATCTGAACTATGTGGCATGTATTGAAGTTTTTTTTTAAAAGACAAACAGCAAAATTGATTTGTTTCACTACATAATGTGAATATGTTTTACTAATGTGAATATGTTTCACTACAATCAAAATCGATAGATCACAATGGAAATTCTAACTTTTAAAATTTTGGTTATATTCTAATTATAAAACACCTTTTTGGTTAATTTATTTGGTTTGTGGGTAGTTTTGCAATTTTGAAGATAAATAATCAAAAACCTAGGGAACAAAGAATACATATATAGCAACTTGCGGAACATTATTGTTGGTTTTATCTATTTAAATGAATCATTTGGAAAAACATATTCACTATCTAAATGAATGCATAATTCAAAAGAAGAGTGTATGGGAGTTTCCATAAAAGAAAAAGAAACTTTGGGGTCGCGAAAAGAATAAATAAAATATTTGGGAATCAGTGAATTGAAGAGATTGGTGGTGGAGCGTGTGGGCAAACGTCAGACGCTTCACAAAACTTTTGCTTTATTACAAAATCAACCCCTTTTCTTTTTCTTTTTATTTTTCTTAAAAACAGCACTTTTGTTTTTTTGGTGGGAGCCAGAGCACATCTTGTTGGCCAACCAACCGCACTTTTCAGGTGATGGAATCTAAGCTATTCCAATTACTTTATTTTTGATCTTTTTCTCTTGTTTCCGGTTTGCTATTAATATTTTCTTATGTAGTTATAAGTTTGTACGATTTGATCGTTTCTTACGAAGGTTTTTGGTAGATAGATTTTAATAATTATTAATACTTTGAGATTTCATTATTATTGGTAGATAGATTTTAACATTTTCACTAAAATCTATTTTTATTAAAAAGTTTTAACTTTTAATGATTCTATTAACCTATTAAAATATTTGTTATTGGGACAAAGATTGTTAATAATTTAACTCATGAAATAAAAATTTTAAATACTATCTATATACAGTAGATTCTTAAAATTATTATAATAAAAGATTTTGATAAATTTCTGAATATACATAACTCTCTTTAAATCTAATAAATTCTTTATAAATTTAAAAAATCTCTCAACTTTTAAAATCATCACAACTTTATATAAATCATACCCCTAGATATATTATTATGTAAAAATTCTAAGGCTCAAATTTAAAATAACAAAACGGATATGTATAATTAGGATATTAATTAGGCGTGGAGACCCAAAACCAAAACAATATTTGGTGCAAGTTTCAATTTGCAAATGCAAGTCCATTAAGGCCTGTTTCAAGCCCATTAACTACGGGCCATGTAGTGTCTGCTTTCTCATCTTATTGTTGAGTTCCTTCCTTCCGAAAACTCTAAAAAGGTGAGTTAAACAGAAAAAATATACCAGTCCTTGAACCAGTCACTGTGTAGTGTGCACCAAAAAGATTAGTAATGATTATTATCATAATGTTTGAAAACGATGGAAAGTCTTTTTCCACTTTACATTTAAGACCAAAGAGAAGAGTTTTTTTTGTTTGTTTGTTTGTTTATAATGGCATAACTATAAATAGACATGAACCAAATCGAATTATTTTTATTAGACTGATCGATAACATTGTTTTATACTGAATAAAACGAATCAAATTTGAATATATATTTTTTTGAACAATTTTCCCATTTACATACTGAGTAAACCAAATCAAATTTGAATATATTGCAATTTTCCTGAACTGAATAAATTGAAATTTAATACAGTTTGTATATATGACTATTACGGTTAGCTGATGTTGTTAGTTGGTTAGCCTTAACCGCATATATATATAGTCTGTTGTGTACAGTAACAATTAATTTATCGAATACATTCATTTCACATTTCATCGTTCTCTCTCTTATTTTCGTTTCTCTCTCTACGATTCACATCGTGATATGGTATCAGAGCAAATCTGTTCTTCCGCTTTCTCAAATTTTCGCCCAATTCTCTCTAATTGATTGAGATTCGTCATGAGTGCTTCGTGAGCAGTGTTGTTTCGTGAATTTTGCATCTCCATTCTTCAATTTTACTTCGATTCGCTTCTCTCGATCATCATTTTGGTTCTCGATCTTCTTCGTCATTGATTGATTCGACGAATTTGAGCTGTTTTGAGCTGTGTCGCTCTGCTTTCTGCCATGAATCAGTCCGATTCCGCGATGCATCGCCAATCTACGGATCTGTATGAAAATCCTTTCTACCTCCATAGCAATGACCATGCTGGTCTCGTCCTCGTCTCCGATCGTCTCACGAGTGGAGCTGATTTCCATTCCTGGCGTCGATCTGTGCGTCTTGCACTCAACGTGCGTAACAAGCTGGGCTTCGTTAACGGTACTATCCCTAAACCTCCCACGGATCATGTTAATGCTGGATCTTGGTCGAAATGTAACGATATGGTCGCCACTTTGCTCTTGAATTCCGTTTCGAAACCGATTAGTGCTAGTCTTCTCTACATGAATACTGCTGAAGCTATATGGAATAGTTTGATGAATCGCTTCAAGCAGGATGATCTTTCTCGGATCTTTGAGTTAGAGCAGAGGCTGTGCCTAGTTAGTCAGGGTTCTCGTGATGTTAGTAGCTATTACACGGAACTCGTGACATTGTGGGAGACCTATACGACTTTTGTTGAGATTCCGATTTGCACTTGTGGAAAATGTGAATGCCAGGCTGTTCAGAATTGGAAGAAGATGCTGGACAGAAGCCGTGTTATGAAGTTCCTAAAGGACTTAATGAAGCTTATGACTCTACTAAGCGTCAAGTTCTTATGATCAAGCCACTTCCTAGCATTAAAGAAGCTTTCAATATGGTATGTCAAGATGAACGACGTCGAGTTCTCAAGCCGATTACTAATGTGGACAATGTTATTTTTCAAGCTTCTGGTCCTCCTTTCGATCCTGACATGGACCGGACACGTTGTAGAGGAAGAAGGTCGTTTGAGCCCAATGTTTGGTTTCTGGATGATGTGCTGTCACTCTCTTCTTCTCTAAGTGTAGATATTAAGAAACCATCCATCATTGAGTATAATGCACATTATAATATGGGGAGGCAATACTGAGTTCGTACCTGGGAATATTCAGGAGCCATAGGGTTAGTATCGAGTTGGTTCATTAGGCTTTTACTCGGTGAACCATTGGGTTAAGACTTAAGAGACCAATGCATCCCTATCCTGGTTGTACATAACATTCTTTACGGTTCGATTTCTGATGATTAGAAAACTACTTGAAGGCATATATTTAGGTAATAAGGAAATTACGTATCAGCAACCAAAAAAAAAAAAAAATGATTGCGTTCCTTTTGGTATATGTTTACCAAAAGGCATATGTTTACCAAAAAATTAATCACAAGGGACTAATAATAAATGAAATTTGGTGTTCACATGAATATCTGGTATATCAGACTTATGTACCAGAAACCGATAGACATTACTATTATGCGCATATCCGATGAAAATGCAATATACCGTCTTTAGTCCTATTGTGACCTTTTCGGAGGTAGTACAGCAACTTTTGCTAAGCATTCCCACACTTTCAAGTATTTATACGAAGGCACGTTATCTTTCCAAAGCTCATACAGAGTTTTTCCCGTTATTTTATGCGATATTTTATTTAGGATGTAATTTGTGGTAAGTAACGCTTCCCCCCGCATGTTCTGGACTAACCCAGATTTCTGCAACATTGCATTCATCATTTCCTTAAGAGTTCGGTTTTTTCGTTCCGCAACTCCGTTGGATTCCGGTGAGTAGGGAGCGGTAGTTTGATGAATAATGCCATGTTCCCTACAAAACGCATTAAACGGTTCATCATATTCTCCTCCTCTATCACTTCTAACTATTTTAATAGTTTTGTTAAGTTGATTTTCGACTTCCAACTTATATTCTTTAAATTTTTCCAAAGCCTCATCTTTACTGTGTAGTAAATATAAATAACAGTATCTGGTGCTATCATCTATAAATGTTACAAAGTATTTTTTTCTACCTCTACTTTGTATATATTTTAAATCACATAAATCTGTGTGAATTAAACCCAAAGGTTCTGTTGTTCTTTCTACACTTGGTGATGGTGTTTTAGTTAATTTTGCTTGAACGCAAATCTCGCATTTGTATTCACTTAACTTTTGTTTTGGAATCAAATTCATGTTCATTAATCTACTGATAGATTTAAAATTTACGTGACCCAAGTGTTCATGCCATAAATTAAATGACTCCACAACGTAAGCAAATGGTTCCTTCTTATTATTCTTCTTCGAGGTTGAAGCCTCGGTTACATCATTGTTACGAATCACAGACTCAACCGACATCTTAAACAGACCATCACAAACAAACCCTTTGTCCAGAAACATCCCATGCTTGGATAGCACCAGCTTATCCGCATCTATCTTAACCGTAAACCCATGCTTATTAAGGAGAGATCCCGAAATGAGATTCTTACGCATGTCCGGAACATGGACCACATTAGTCAAGGTGAGTTCACGACCAGAAGTAAGCTTTAGAACAATTTTACCATAACCTTCAATCTTTGACGTTGCCGAGTTCCCCATGAAGAGTTGTTCGTTGCTCTTGTTCTTGTTGTAGGAGGAGAACATCGAACTTTCCAAACAGATATGCCGTGTTGCACCGGTGTCAAACCACCAAGTCTTTGGGTGGCTTTCTGCAACATTAGCCTCCATGACAACAGCACACAAGTCAGCTTCCGTGAGGTTAGCTTCATTGTTGACTCCGTTTTTCTTTGAAGCTTTCTTGCTACGGCATTCAAACGACTT